ATGCATTACTTCGTTTTTCTCATATGCGTTATTTCGGTTTTCAAACGAAAGTGTGCATGTATGCATTATTTCGGGTTTTTCTAATATGCATTATTGCGGTTTTCAACCGAAACAGTGCATATATGCATTATTTCGGTTTTTTTCGTATGCATTATTTCGGTTTTTTTCATATGCATTATTTCGTATGCACAGTTTCCATATGCACAATTTCAGGGTGCCATCTCAAAAACGATGGCTTTTACTAGAAAGCGTTGTGTTAGGAATAGTTGAGTAATGGGATAGTTTGAAACTTTATTTATTTCCTGCTTTTTCCAAGTTGCATCAATTTTTAAGGCAGTGTCACTCTATTGTGACATTTGTACAGATTTGTGCATTTTTATATTGGGCTTTGGTGCAAAATAAAAAAATTTAGACAATTGGGACAATTTTTATATATTTTTGTAGTCAAAAGCTAGGTACAATACAGCAAACTTGTATTGAAAAATTTCAACAAATTATTTTTCGTGATTGGGATAAAGAAAAATATTTGGGTATTCACACAATTGGAATACGATTGCACCAAATTTCGGCAAATTCCCAATCGTGTTACACTGCCTTTAAACTTGTATTTATACGGATGTTGGTAAAGAATGAACTATAAAAAACTAACCAAAATTAAATAACAACAAAAATAATATTTTAAAAATTGTCAAAATTTGGTGCGGCTATAATTTTTTCGACTACTGTACATAAGTTGACTATGATTACTCGGTTGTGCTATCATAGTAGCACAATGCCACTAATATTTGACTTACAAACAAAATACGGGCAGGAACCCTGTGTGTGTGAAATATTTTATTTTTATCAGTATTTTCAGAAATTTTTTATTTCGTAAGCTATTACAGTTTTCTATAAAAACTGTGCAAACAATGAACACAATATACATATGTACATATGTATGTATCTAAAAAAAATATATCGATTAGCTAAAAATTAAAGACTGGGAAAACTTATAAGGTTAATGGGCTATTAGTGCGACAACAATAAGACAATAAAGACATTTAATAAATTATAAAGAATTAAGAAAAAAAAAGTCAAAGTTCGGGAGAAACCGAACCGTATGTACCCAGCGCACTTATTATATAGTTTTTTCCCCTTTCTCTAAATTAACTTTGCATGATATAGCCAGATCATATTAGATATTCAAGGTTAATAATTAGCATAGAGCTGAAAATTTGTACGAATGTTGCGAAAGCCATTGTAAATGAAATGTGAAATGTTCCCATCGATACCACATGTGCAAAAGAATTTATTCCAGGTCAAACGTCACATACATATGCACTAGTGGCAGAAATAATATACTCGCCTTATTTTTTTGTTTTTGTTTTTGTTATAAATATTTATTTAGCTAATTTAATGTAAAATATTTTTTTATAAAAGTCTAGGGGGATATACAACAAAAAACACCATATAAATCCACATTTCAAGCTATGTACAAAAATTCAAAAAATTTTAACTAAAATTTCATACCTTTTATTCTGAATTTTTAAAACAATTTTTGGTATGCAGTTTTTTAGCCCATTCAATTTTAGTATAATAAATGCATGCTACAAAATACCATATCAAAAATTGTCGAGCATACTTTGCGTGCGTCAGCAAAAAAAAATAAATAAATATTAAAAATCAGCCACTTGAAACTTTCACTTTATTATGCTAAAATTGAATTGGTGATTTTAGTAAAAACTTATTGAATTTTAATAATTTGTGTACAAAGTTTTAAATGTGGATTTATGCGGTGCTGATTATATCTGTGGTCATAAGCAATAACCGCCAAAGTCGACCTAAGAAAGAATTGACTTATATACTATGCTATCGTTTTCAGCAACTATTATTCCATGTGTATGTGAAACTCCCATCGCGATACCTAGGCTATTTAAAAAGTTATAGAAGGTTAAACTTTCAATAGAAATATTTAAAGCGTTTTCTTCTCGAATTCAGGTTTTTCGACTTAGGCGATTATTGCTTATGACCACAGATATAATGTCGTAGACTTTTACAAACAAATATTCACGATAAATAAACCAAAGAAATATAGCCAGAACTGGCCAAAATAAGGTCAGTCTATTATTTTAGCCACCAGTGTATGGGTTTTTTTTTAATTCTACAGCCAAACGGTAAAGTTGGATTTTCTAGACGAGTCCACATTGCTCACAAAAAATCGCTCGTGTAAATGGTGATTCAAACATCGCTTGCCTCAGAGTAGACAGCAAATCAACTTTTGCAGGCGATTATCGCCTATCAAAAAATCTCGTTTTGTACAGGCAGCTTAAGATTTATCATGCAAATAGATTACACAGAAGTTTAGATGATTCAATTTTATGCTGTTAGAAACAACCGTTATGCGAACAAAGTTAGATACCTGTGTGCACAAGACTGCTTGGGTATAAAAAATAATGTTACCTATGCTCATTCATACCACTTTATTCATACTTGAGAGTATTGTTTGAGATTTAGATCAATTTATCGATGAATGAATACATACCCAGAAGATAATTTACGTAGGTTTCTTAAGTGAAACCATTCTAAAAGCTATACAGCTGCTGTAGCCGAATGGATGCGTGTTCGACTGCCGTGTTGTTAGTCAGGGGTTCAAAACCTGTAGCACGGACTTAATTTTTTATTTTTTTTATTCTATTTATAGTTTCGTAAAGCGACATGCGACACATTACTTTCGTATGACATCGCCGTGGAGAAATTCTTGCATCTTTTCACTAGAAAGTTACTAACCATTAATAAGTGGCTATCCATTAATTTTTGCATTCCCAGACTTTACCTTTTCCCACTGGGATATTAATGTGCACACTCAAAAATATACTAATATATTTGCATACATACCCTGCAGAACTATCTCGTAAACTACTGCAAAACGGCTAGTTGCGCTGTCGTCAGAGTGAACATCTGAAAGCTGAGAAGTAAATGTACAAATTCTTCTCACTTCTCGTACAATACGAAAGTAGCTCAGCGCGAAGGCTCCGACTCAAACATCGTTGGTCGCGAGCTCAAATCGTGGTGGAGGCAGTTGTAAGTTTTCAGTTTTAATGAATTTCAATTGTTACAATAATATTTTTTTAAATAAAATATGTAACAAAAATAAAATCTGTAAAAGAAAATAACGAAAAAAAAACCAAAAATCGAATATTAACAACGTTTTCCTATAAAAAAAAAAAACTGTCCAAAACGAACAGTTAAAAACATTGCTTAGGTATTAAGCTAGAACTAGTACTGTCGGCAAAAGGTCTAGTTCCACGCTAGTTCTGAGCTAGTCAGATTTTCTGCAGGGCATACATGCTTATATGAATGTATACATATATAGTACATACATACATATACATACAAATTCAGCAATACGATTACATACATATGTATGTGGTTCGCATATAACAAATAAACAAAAATAAAAATTAATGCGGCGGTTTAATTTAGACGGCTAGAGGCTTGCGCAAACAACACCGCCTGTCAAAACTGAACGTCCTAATCGATGCCTCAAGCTAAAATCTGATTTGAAGCGGTCATTAACTTTGCTGGCAGCCCCATTGTTGTTTGATTGCAAAAAAAAAAAATTATGCAAATAGCTTGTAGACAAAATCGCTTACATGTTTAGAAACCAAACAAACTTTCCTTTTTATGCTTGTATTCATATTCAAATTTTTTATTTTTTTATTAGAGACAAAGAGTGTGGCGAAAGGTGCGCATCCGATACGCTACTATGCCTGACAAACATATTTTTCAATTCATTCGAGCTTATTTGACTACGCAGCTTCTTCAACGGTAAATATTAAAATAATTCGGTTTATTTTTAAATTCTTCCATTGATAAATGGTTCGATCTGCATTTCGATAGATTTGCGGGTTCTTATTAACAATTTTTGCAAGCAACACAATCAGTTTGAAAGAAACCTTTAAGGTGTTTGGATTAAAAGTAACTTTTAAGCGGCCCATAAGAGTGGATTAAGCGATTTTAGAAGATGTTGCGGCAATTGGTGTGTAATAAATCAGTGTTATACATATATATGTATATGAACAACATTAGCATAAGAAGTGAGCTCAGATTTTGGCTTACATACATACATCCCAAGTTTAGTTTTCTGTGGTGACAAAATGACAAACATTTTAATGACAAAGTTCTACATTACAAATTCTTATATAAAAAAAAGAGATATATATATGTATATTTCGTGATCCAATGATCGGATCTAAACCGTGACGTGGTCCAAAGTTATGTGGTAACATAGTACATACATATATAAAAAAAATATTCCGACGAACTGATAACCTACTCCTTTTTTGGAAGTCGGTTAAAAATAAAAGCTTGTAAAAATAGTCATTAAGGTTGCATTTCTACTTCGCACTGAAATGGCGAAAAATATGTTTTATTACATATATGTATGTATTTCTAGTCATTTTTCATAAAAAATTATTCATGCTACAGCCAAACCCATATAAATATATATACCAGGGAGGAAAAATAGTCATTATTAGTTAAATTTTAACCGAAAAAATCAACAAGTTGTAATCGTCGTAAAACAATTTTAACTATACTCACTTATTCGTATGTCCTACTCCAATTTACAATGATTTTTATTTTTTGAGTTTAATCAATAAATATTAAAAACAGTAATTAATATTAGAGCTATAGAGTAAAGATAATAATTATTCAGCCTCACTGTCTGCTGTCGTGCTGAAATAAGTAAACGACGAATATCGTCGAAAACTATGCAGTGCTGCCAAGTTTTTGTTTTTACGTTTTAATACACTATTCGAGTAAAAATTTTAGGTAATGACATTAAATCTTTTATACGCTTCGACTCTCGAAAAACGACTTCCATTCAACACGACTCTCGCAATGAGGCTGATTATTGAGTTTTATTTTTTTTTTTTTTCACTTACGAATAATGATCAATCAAAAATCTCGAAAGCTATACCAGCGTGATTTCCGACGTATACTTTTCAGAGGTAGCGACACCCAAATAAAATGAATAAGTTCTGGTTACAGCTGGTTTTACTTTTGTCGCGAATTTCGTCTTTTAATTGTCATTTTTCTTTAACTTTCTTTCACTTCAAACTTGCAACCCTTGCACTTTATTGGCATCCTTGGAACTTGCACTTTATTGGCCTAAAATGGAAAGGGCTACACAACTGCATACCCAAAAATTTGCTAAAAATTCGGATCAAAAAGTTTTAAACTTTGATGACCATTTTATGAAGTATGATCAATTTTTGTGAAAATCCGTGCACGCGTTTATTTAAGTGGTTTCTGTTATAGATTTATTTATATTTTAAATTTAAATTAGTAAAAAAAAAACAAACAAAAGTTGCAAATCATTTTGAATTTTGATGCTAATTCTTTGACCATAGCTATAGATAGAATTTTAGAAATGGTAGAAGTAGTTCTATATGTTTTGACCACCACTGTACTTATGTACATAGACATATCGTTGATAAAATGTAGCAAGGCCCCCACATTTTTTCGAAATTTGGTTTTTTGCATTCCCAAGAAGCTTATACTAAAACCCATCTTCCCTAAAAAATTTAGAACCGTAACTCAAAAACTAGGGAACTTATGCCAATTTTTAAAAAGCCCTAACTGAACGAATTAAAATTTGTGAAAGCCAAAAGCCCCAACTGAGGTGCTTTTGCTACAAAAAGTTTATTAATGCAAATACAACTTCAAAGAAAGTTGTATAAGTTTAGTGGCCTTTGCATTTGTAAATAATTCCGAGACCGGCTAAAATTCTCCACGACATACATATGTATGTAGTATACTGAATACATGATATATTTAATACGTCTATATTGGCAGTAAGCCAACTTCTCAATGTGTAAGCATTCCGAAATCGTGTTTCTCGTCTCAATTTCTATAATATTAGTGTAATAAAACGTAAAATATTTTTTTTTTGAACAAATCTGGTGGATTTTGCTATGTTTTTTTCGAAGAACACTATTTTTGACCAATTTTTTTGAGGTAAAGGAGTAGTTGTGGGTCAAAGGCAGTATTTTTCAGCGAAAGGAAATAAAATTAGCTTTCAAAACCATTTTGTATTATATTAAAATATTGCTTCTGTCGAAAGCGCTACGATTAATTCGCATGGAGTGTTCAAAAAGCACAAATGTGTTAGATTTTACACTCAACCCTGTAAAGGGGCATGGTTTTGCCTTCTTGTCCATGTTTTGTTCGAGCAATTATTTCATAAAACGAACACAAAGTTTTCTCACCGTTTGCCTTTAGTTTAAAACCGAACACGAAAAGCGAGAGGGGGAATCAAAAGGTGAAATTTTTTTGGTAGAAACGAAATCGCCATAAGACAAAAAACGGGAATACTGTCTGTCAAAGGCCATCCAGGTTGATCTGACAGTTATATAAATATTACATACATATATCCCTTTGTTTTTTCTTGTTTAGTTCATAGCTGAAAGTAACTTTTAACTTGCTTTGATATGGAAACAAAATACATATACTGGATTTAATTAACATGAACTCAAAAAGCCATTTCTGAAATATTTATTTCATAACAGGCTAACCTAATATTCGCGGCTTGCGTTTTGGTACGCATGCCGTCGAATTTGTTTTTTTGCGTCACCCGAAATTGACTTGCATGCGTTTGCATTTGATTTCATTGAGCGAAACGTCAAATCAAAATGTCACGCAGAACAAAAATTGGAAATTGAGTTAGCTTCATACGCACGCCGTTCAATTTCGGTTGATCTCATACAAGTTGCATGTGCATGAGAAATTTTTGACAATAAATTGGCGGCGTGCGTGAATATTAGGTTAGCCTGTAACTTCGTATTCACAACGGCCCTGTCTGACAGACGTTCTACATAATGGATAAAAAACAAAATTTTTTTAATTATGATAGGTGTTGATATTTAACATAAATTCCATCAATAATTTTCAATTCATTTTTAACCGACTTCCAAAAAAGGAGGAGGTTATCAGTTCGTCGGAATATTTATTTTTTTATGTTTGTTACCGCATAACTTTGGACCACGGAACTTAGGTAACAAATGAAAGAAAAATTCTGTAGAATTGGAAACAAAATTTGGTGCATAAGGACGAATAGGTTTTGGAAATACCCTCTTAAAATTCTATGCTTTAATATCCTTGAAAATTCTAATATATATTTTTTTAATTATATACAGATGTATTAAGTACATATCAACGGCACTAAAACTTTTTTTAAATTTGACATGTTCGATTTTGGATACTCCTGTTGTAATCGTATTGAAATCACTCCTCATTACGAGCACATTGTTGGAACAGATTAACAATTACAAGTCTTCTTAAGAAATCTTAAGTCCGTAGAGCAATCTTAAAATTTATGCTTTTAATTTAATAATACTATCAACATAAAATAAAATAATAATGAGTTCCAAATACTTTCAGATATATATTCTGACAATTGCGATTTGCCTTAATTTCGTCACAACCAAAGTGTTGGAAAAGCAAGCGGCTCGTGGTATCAGGTATGTAGGTATATTAGAATTTCATCTTCATTAATTACAAATGCTCTATCTTCTATACAACCTCTAGCAACTCAGCACGGCAACCACTTGATAGCACGTCCTTTGATTACGATTATTTTTCGCCTCAGGCACGGCAAAGTCAAACACCAACTCAGCGACCATTCATAAACTACTGGAATAACCTGGTGCAAAATATACGTCTCCCAGTACCTTATATCAGGTGGAATATGACTAACCCGCTGGTGAATCTATTCAACGCCGGTGCAACCAATGTTATCGACACTCCAGTGGGAAACTATAACAAGAGAAACACAAAACGCAAGCGCAACAAAAAAACAAGAACCCAACAAGATATGCTTACAAAACGCACCAAAAAACCCAAATACACAAATTCAGCTTATGAGGGAGAAGATGAACAGATGTATCAGACTACTAGTTATAATGATTACGAAGTACCATACAAAACACTCTATTTTTATGATGCGCGCACTGGTCAATATTATAAAATGCAAAACTTGCATACTAATAACTACTTAAGTGCTTACAATCCCGCTAAACAGCAGCCGCAGCAGCCGTACGAATTTGAAGAGGAAGAAGGTACTGCAGAACAGCCAGTTCGGCACGAGGTAGCTGCACAAATTGAGCCGCCAACTGCAGAAGCATCTGTCGAAAGTAATAACTCTGATGATGAAGCAATGCAGGAAACTAGCGAAGAAGAAACTCTTCCTGACTCACAAGAAGCAAAAGAATCTGAAGAAGTTGAGGTAATACCCCCAGATATTGAAATTAGCGATGAGTCAAAAGAGGAGCCTACTCTAGGAAGACAGTCAGATCTTATTAAGCAGACTAAACAGCATAAAGTAAAAAATATTGAAAAACTGCATAACTCACTTGCCGCTTACATGAAAGACGATCACTTCAATAGGATGCGTCAGCGGGCAAACACAAAACTAAGTTCAGGAGCTAAGCAAAACAAAGAAAAATCACTGCCTAGGAAGAAGTTCGCATATTACATATTACAACCATTTTAATGTCTAAGCTAAAATTAAATATTGGTATTCATGCCGTGGTTTTAATAATAATCAGTTTCCAACTAAAAAAATCACTGAAGAATTAAATCTAACTGGATAACCTTACAACCAGGAAAGCGTGAAGACCTACCCCTATTGTTTTATATTCCAGATGAAGATATAAAATTTTTACCAACTAAAAGAATAGCAATAAGTAGAAGGAATGTGACTATAGAAAAGGGCAGTTGTATTACTTTTGCATAGTTAAATTTAAGTTACAAGACAGCAGAATTATAAACATTAAATAGTAAATTAGCTAAGAATTAAAAATAAAGAACAATTGAGCACCTAAGGAGTGTCGACTGGCAGTACTACATAATCCACATGCTCTACATCATCGAAGTAGGGATGCGTCATGGCATTTTTAGCTGATATGCGTTCATTGGGTTCGTACAGCATCATAACCTGTGAAAAAAAAAAACAATTATATTCTTACTGTGCATAGCAAAGAGTCAAGTCGTCACCTTAAATAGATCATAACCTTCGTGCTTCACAATAACGTCTGGTATATTAGTTTTCTCCCATCTAGGGAATTTAGCCTTGTAATCTGGTAATTGACTAACACCAGGCCAAGTATTTTCATCAGGTGTACCCAATGTGCGAAATATTCGGTATAACTGGTCGATTTCGCTGTCACCAGGAAATAGTGAACGCTTCATAATCTAAGGAGATAATAAAGATGGCTTTAATTAGTTTCTTACTTAAAATTAAGTTAAATTTTCATATATCACCATTTCAGCAAATATGCAACCTAAACTCCATATATCCATGCCTGTCGCATAATATTTGGTGCCTAATAGTATTTCAGGTGCGCGGTACCACAGCGTAACGACCTCGTGTGTATAGGCGCGCATTGGCATATTGAAGGCACGCGCCAGTCCAAAATCTGCCAACTATAAAATTAATAACAGAATATTCTTAAACAGTCTTAATTGAAGTGAATCAATCGTTCATGTTGATGTTTACCTTAATGTTACCAACGCTATCGACTAGTAAATTTTGTGGTTTGAGATCTCGATGTAAAATTCGATTCGTATGGCAGAAACAAATGGCATCAAAAAGTTGATGCATGTAGCTCTGTAAAAAGATACAAATAGATATTATTTCAAGAAATCAAGAATTTAAAGTACAGAAGTCTTATGTATGTAAGTAAGCCCAGCGCTGGATTACAAACAGGCACTGGCATGACCTGATTCCATTAAAAATACATGCCAGTAGCATTCATTTTTAAACGACTTAAAAAAAATTAGGAGGTTATCAATTCGCCGGAATATTTTTTATAATTACATATTTTATTTATGTATGTTACCGCATAACTTTGGACCTGCCGCAATGGTGGCTCTATACTAATTTGGTTTAGATCTGATAATTGGTTCATGAAGCAGTTAAGGTAATTCTATTTTCGATCCAACTTACAAAATTATTAATTATGTTTTAGCGTTAATTTAATCATTTTTATTTTCATGACTTCACCACCAAGTATAATAAAAAAATGCTGACTTTATGAAGGTATGGAGTTTAGAAGTAAGCCATATTAATCAATTTGCACGCAAGTCACTCCTGCAAAGTTTACAGTAGCAGCTTACCAAAGCCTGCATAAATCAGTGAATTCGCTGAAAGTTCTCCTCAATCTAATTTAACGTAAATAGAAAATATATAGGAAATGGAATAGGGAAAATTATAAGGATCTTCTTTATATATCCTCCTTGATCACTCACCTTAACAAGTTTAGGCGTGAAAGCATCCTTTTTCTTGTCCATTAACTTCTTCAGGTCCATATTCAAATACTCGAACACCATGTACAAGCTGGAATCCGCCACTACAATATCATATAGTCGTACAATGTTATTGTGCGTTAAATCCTTGAGTAGTGAAATCTCCCGAATGGCCGTCGATGGAACACCCTCAGTTTCGCTACAAAAACAAATTACAATACTTTAGTATATTTCCCATAACATCTTTACTTATTAGTTACTCAACAAGTTTCCATTCACCATTTTTAAAGCGGCAGCATGTAAATAAGAATATACACAAAAATAGTTTAATCAATGACCAATTAAGTATGTATTGGGTTACAAAGTTTGCGTTGCTTTTCACAGCCCGACAAAGCCGAATCATGTGGTGCTACGTATATTATTCGATCAAAGCGCAGAACCACATGATGCGGGCCTTGTATGGTCGCTTAATTTCCGTCGTTCTTTTATATTTATAAAGTATCGATCCAAAAAAAAAAACACAATTCACGTGCAAGTCCTATAGAAATAAGCCCTACCTCGTCACAACTGGCAATTGATTGCCTGAGGCAAATGACATTCATCAAGGACAACGCACTTGCTACCACCGACCTCTGTTACTGCGCGTTTCTTATTGCGTGTTTATGGCTTGTCTCTACACCTACGCAAGGATATGCGTTGCAACAATGGTGTTGGCAGCAGCACGAAATCCACGAAACGACAAAAATAAACAATATGGTTATCAGTTGATTATGCTCACACGTGTGTATATTAATAGAAATAATTATATTTATATTTTATATTTGACTCACCTATCTAAGCGTATCTTCTTCAGTGCCACATCCTTGCCAGTTTTTGTGTCCTTTGCCTTGTAAACGATGCCATAAGTTCCTTCGCCGATTTTTTGAATTCTTTTAAAGTCCCCCACCTCGAGCATTATACACTTTGGAAATGCCAATTCATTTATAGTGAAAAATAAACGTTTTACTTTATTAGTTTAATTCAGTATTGTAATTAATTACAATATTTGCAAAGAACAAAATATAAACCAAGCGAACGCAGCCAAAAGCAATGGAAGGAAGGAAGGAAGGGAAAGGAAAGGGCAATGAATGTCAGAACAGGGATAGATCACAAAACTTCCACTGGAATGCACTACCGAGCGTCACTGGAATGCACTACCGGAAGTATAGGGTGATGCATTTCTCTTGTTCTTCTTTTTCTCTTCTTGATAGGGCGCGCTTTTCAAAAATTTCACAATAGAGGGCGCAATTATTGGTTTGCGTTACCAACTGCCAACAGCAGCTTGCCGAAACCTTTCACTGAAAAGAACCCAACCAACACCAACGTTAGCACCTAATAGGGCTTTCGCACGAGGCGATTTTTCAGGCAACTTTTAGTTGAAAGCAAAAATAGCCTCGTCCGAACGGCCTTTCAACTAATCGCTTTCAACAAAGTTGGTCGCCAGCCAACTTTGAGCTCGTTCAACTTTTTTTCCTTGCAACCCTGTGTTTTTTTACATTCTGTATCAGTGTTGGGAAATGAAATCGTTCCTGCAGTATAGTACTTTTCGGCTATAAATTGTATACACTTTTTAATTCGCTCATATAATCTCTTAGTACATTCCCTTCAAGACCAATGATTTTATGGTATTCATGAGAAAGTTTTATTGTTTATGTACATACGTTTACGTATTTTACACTTTTACAAATTGATTCCACGTGCACATGTACTGCATTTAACGCAAATATGTATGCACACATTTTCAGGTATACATCTTAACAAAAAGCATATTTAAGTT